CTTCACTTCACTACACTACACTTCACTTTCACTTCACTTCGGTACACTACACTTGCACTTGACTTCTCATTGCACTACACTTCACAACACTTCACGACACTCCAATTTCAACTACTACTTATAATTATACTTGTATATTTAACAAACCACACAAGACATGTATTTAATAGTGATTATCACAATACTATATTTAAAAAAAATAACAATTTTATATAGTATATAAACTAAAATTAATAACCATTTTAATAAGCCTAACTTATTACCAATGTCCTTAGTTAATCACTTTTGAAACTTTGTACACCTAGAGGAAAGGGTTCATGGCTGCCGCACGGTAATTATTCCAGTCCGTTATGTTTCTATTTCAGTGAATTGGAAAATTTATTCCAACATCTGTTCTCTGTTGCTTCTGAACTGAATTTTGTGCTTAGTGAGATCCACCTCTACTAAAGTAAGCTGGTCTATCGAGTCGAATGAAAATATCTTTTCCAAAGCTGATAACCGGCATACGCCAACTGCTAATGTACCTTCACTCGAGAGCGACAGCTAGCCACCTCACTGAGATACTCTCCACTATACGCCTCTACTAAACATATATCACATTGCTGCGGAAGTAAGTTCTACACACTCTTCTTCTGAACTCTATTCAAATAATTCCTATTTCGAGAGAAGAGTTCACTCGCGTAACACAATTATCGGTCCCAACCAAATTGCCTCCGTAATTCCATTAATGGACGAACTAAAAGATAGCGTAAGCTACAATCTCTCTCGCGTTTCGCAGTACTCTTTTTAGGTATTTCGCATCGGTAAAATGCAAAGACCTTCCAGGCTTTCCCTACGACAAAGTTAACCTGGTTTTCCAGTTTAAATTTGCTATCAAATATATATTTCCCATACCAGTAACCTTACAAAGCAGGACATCTTGGAATCTTTTCGTTGCCTAAACGGTATTGCGCTTTCACTATTATTTGCGGCGGGACCCCTACCAAAACGTGGATGCGTTTTCTTTTTGAACTAGTTTTACTGTCTGCTATTTTTTTCTGCCAGAAATGTAAAGCTATCTAGATCATCTGCCAAAATATCCTCGTTCTACTTTTGATGAATACTCGATTATATTATACAGTCATCTGCCAAATAGTCTTACCTTCTGGAACATAAATTGTCTGGGCAAGGTCCGTTTACAAACCTGTCTCGACAGACGTGTATATGAACACAGCGAATGATAAATAAACCCGCTTCTTGAGACGCAATACCATCTCAAAACGCTCTGTGCGACGATATATATATACTAGACAACTCGGACATTGGGCTGTTTCCGCTATCTCGGACAAACTTCATTTCAACCACGTAAACACTCTAGTGTCAATACCCGAATGCATTAATTTATGAACTAATTTAATCGTGTTGGCGACAACATCAAATGCCGTTCGCGGAAATCTATTTACTATTGGCAATCCACCCTCCATTATCATCACACTTCATCTGCTATATCCTGAAAGAATGATTACTATCTGACTCTCGGCAAGAGGAAACAATTTCCTAAAAACCATGCTGTCCACTGAAATAGCCATTCTATTTGTTCCCATTACTTGTCTTAAATATAGCTAGCTTATCAAATGTTCCATTAGCTTTGACATACAACTACGTAAGACTTACCGCCGTCTATAATTTGCTAAACAGTTCTGTCACCATTCATAAAAATCGGAGACAATAGTAGCTCGATCTTCCAATCTTTATTGGACGCCTGACTGTTGATCGAAAACATGACAATAATCTTGTCAGATTTACCCGCAGTAATATTAGCCTCTGCCACTGAGTTTAATTATGTCTATTGAGAATGCATCTGACCCGGGACTTTCCATCTTTATCATTGATTTAAATTCGCTTTACGCAATGCATTTACGGTCCTATTTAAAACTGATTGGTACAGCCTCCCTCGATAATCTGCAGTATAGCGTAGATTTTGTTTTAAAACACGGAAACTGAAGTAGGCACTTAAATGCGTTTGCTTTTTCCCCCACTCTATTTAGTAAACCCCGGTAGTATCCTAACCGATAGAATTCTCTCTTTATTTTCCTCTTCTTCTTGCGAACATATTTGCTTTGGAGAACCCTGACCCAATTATTTTTCCTTACACCTGTCGAGAATTGGCGTTATTTTATAAAAATGACTCCTGCCGGAGGATCCAATAAAAATTTTTTTTTTCTTTTCCCTCTAATATCTTTTGAATACAGTACGGAAAAAGTATCTCAGGATTTTCACTGCGATGATCTATTATGAAATGCTTTTCTGACATTTCTCTTTCATACGGTCGAATTTTCGCGATCCTATAATATCTGGATCTGGAATTTCTTTTTAAGTAATTTATGCGGGCACCAAACATTTGCAGTGCATTATTCCAGAATGCTCTTAAACGGCGTCCAAGCTTTCCTCCATGACCCCGGTCTATTCTCATTAACGATCATTTACTGGTCTCTCAGGTAAGTGGTGAAAGCCCCTTTTGTGTTTGCCTTCCTGAACTGCCAGCATTGTTGTACCCGGTTTGGGGGAAAATTTTTTCTTTTTTTATTCTGCCGAAAAAATTTATGTCTAAGTCAACTAACCACCGCTTTGTGGTCGCTATATGCCATCAATGACTATCGCAAGACAAGAAAAGCTCTTGCGGCCTAATTAGGTAAACACTCTAGAAGCGCGTCCTTGTCTCGTCTGGTCTATCTACTACCTGTGCTAATCCCCCTTCCAGACGAAGTCTGTTCACGGACCTGTGTACTGTGTCGCGTGTCGCTCACATGCGCCTTTCCAATTTGCGTCTGGAATATTTAAATCACCAGACAATTACTATAGCGATGTATATCGTTCCACCATGTTTTCTATTTTTTCAGAAATTTGCTATTCCAAATCGCGTAATTTTCACTTGTGGCCATATAGCAGCTATAATTCTAACATATTTCTCCTTTGAATTACTAATTTCTATCCCCTCATCTCCCCAATTTCTTCACTGTAAACCCCAAATTTCTCCTCACATCTATTGTATCCTTAACACAAAATGAATATCCCCCCACCTCTACGTATTTTCTCTATCTCCTCCTAAACCGACACTCTAATTGGACGAAAAACTTCGCAGTTAGCTATCTCTTCCGTTAGCCAAGATTCAGTTCTATTACATACATCAGGATCACAAGCATCGACTAAATCCAAATTACTATTCTTTATTTTCTTAACACGCGACAGGGTCACCTGCAAAGCCTTGCGCTGAAACCTTTCCTCACCTGAAACATTTCGTGTCCAGTTTTTTCGTCACTTCGCCGTCTTTTGCTCCGTCTCCTCCCGCGTCGTCGTCACCGCCGCCGCCCGGCGCCGCCGCAGCGTTCCCCGTCGCCGCCGTCGATCGCATCCTCACGCCCGCCGTCGTCGCTGTCCCGCCTCCATCGTTATTCGTCTCCGCCTCCGTCGCCGCCGTCGTCAGGGTTTCGCCGTCACCGCCACGTTGTCACCGTTAATCGTCCGCCGCCGCCGCCGTCAACCCCCCGTCACGACCCACAAAGTTTGCCACGTCATTTACCAATTTTTATCTACTTTTTCGGCGAAAAATTATCATGACTCGAGTCTGAGGCAAGACTCAGATGACATCTGATCCATGCAACCGCTCAAGTTTCAGCCACCGCGAGCATTTAGAATGAAACCCCGTCTCAGGACATATGTCACAGCCATTTAGCTCACCAGTTAATTCGGGTCGCACCAAATAACGCATCACTCTCACAAGCCCACAACAAACCCGATTCCATGGTCCAGGTTTGGAATGTAGTCTGTCGCCGTCGAACAGATTACTGCCACTGAAAAATTCACAACTTACGCATTTTTATATTTCGACTTTATTCACTACCCAAATCTACATGTTTTATATGATGTCAACAAGAAAGCTGGTTTCTTTGAAACATTCCGTGACCCCACGTGCACTAGCACCGCTTTTTACGACTATCATTCCCGGACTAAGTCGCCGCATTTCCATAACGATTGACAAACTGTTCTACGTTACATCCGGTGATAATAAGACACATCGGCTTCCCTTGTCTACGGCGCACACCCCTCACTTCGCTCCGTAACATAGAGTCTCCAAGGACACTGTTTACTTCGCCGGAGTTAACCGCGAATTAGTGTCCCTGCCTGAAGTTATCGCAAGCAGTATATTGCGAGTGAATATGAAACCAACTAGCATGAGAAAGTCTGTGGTATTCTATAGCACCACTAGTTTACATTTCGATGCAAAAATTGATTGAAAAGCGTTCAATACTTACTATTGAAACTGAAATGAAGGAAACAGAAGTAAAGTAGAAAAAGTAAAAACGGTGTGTGAAGCTCTAAAGAGTAGTATTTACTTTACATATCCTTCGAAGTTCTATAACATTTTCCACAAATAATATGCAAAACATTATTTGAGACATTGCTCTTGAGCCTTCAAAAATATAAATTACATGATTACCTGGTTTATTAAATGTTAATATTTTCAATAAAAAAGTATGTATATCACTACAAAAACTAGAATTACAAACTAGAGTTATAAAATCTTAATAACTTATCAGATACGTTGTTTAGCAATTAAATAACAGATTAAATTAACATATTTTAATTAACCTTGTCAACGTTTGAACACATATTCTCAAGATCATTTGCTAAGAAATAAGTCTTAATACTAACCAATACATTCTTCAAACACGCGACTAGTGATAACTTGGGAAAATGACCCAGTATATTTGTGAGCAATTAAGCACGTAGTGCTTACCGAGTTGAATTATGTATTGGGCGTAATATAGATTTTATTTGGCTCTACAACTAGTTTTTACGACTAGCGAGTGTTTACTTATAACTTATTTCTTTATCAGTTATTACATCATTCTGGTCTCTTTTGTTGAACCTTCTCCCTGTCCTCTGAAATTGGGTCGCAGATCAGTAATCGTCGTTAAATTGACGGGATTTCGACGAAAGTCGTTGACATCGGGATACCCTCAGATCTTGCGTTTAGGGCTGCTTTCGTCCGCCGAGAAAACGTAGGTGTTGGTGTTGGAAGCGCTGTTGTTCCCGTCAGCAGCGCCACTGTCGGATTCAGGCTGCACGCGCAAAATCCGCCACACCTGCAAAACACAACTGTATTACTATCTATCTGCGTCGATGGCGTAGTGACTTGCAGCAATGTCTTCGCACACGGAACCCAAGGCTGCGGTTGATGTCCCGCATTACGCATGGGCATTATCAAGATGTGGTTGGGACATGGTTGACGTACCATCCTACCATGAATCCCTTCTAAACATCACCCAACTCATAATAATTAATCTAACATCATTCATTCTTCAAGATCTCCCTTCAGTCCGACATACAGAGAATGTAAAAATCAAACCACGGCAATCACTTTCCTAAACCAGTGGTACTACAGCGGTACATACTATCTACAAAGAGGGGAAGAAAGTATGTGATTACAACAACAGTACAAAATTTACAATGAGGTAATTTTCATTATAGGCATCATGTTTTTCAATGTACTTGATCCATCATAGCATCAACTTTCCGACACCCTCAGAAAAAAGAATTTTCGATGGAGCATCAACGCATGTATACGCTGCTTCTCGCCCGAAGATCAAATGCAAATATTTGGTACCTTAAAAACATCATTAAGTGGAACCAACAGATGGTAATTAGACCTGAGAAAATTGAAACCGTATCCAGGATGCTCTGAATCCTCGAAATACAGATTTTGAAGGGTTTGAATGGCGAGATATGAATGCGAGTTGTCTTGCACTAAAATAATGTCTTTCGACAATTGATCTCGGCGTTATTGCTACATAAGCAGCAATTCGCCCGCAGAGACGGGCTAGTGGAGCACACTGTGCTCGACATGAGAGGTGCGAGCCATTGTAGCCGCCCCGGAGACACGCCCGGGCCAGCGCCTCGGCCAGAATGAGCAGTTCCGCAAGGCGCCACCGGGAGCCGGCCGAGTGGCGACGCTCTGCACCGAGGCAGCAAAGCGCTTCGAGGAGCAACCCGACAGCCCACCCGTAGTATTTACTAGGCTGTCCGGATGACGCCGCGTCCATAGCGAAGGTGCCGACGTTTCGGTCGCCATTCTGCGACCTTCCTCAGGGCGTAATGCGTAATGAGGAAGGTCGCAGAATGGCGACCGAAACGTCGGCACCTTCGCCATGGACGCGGCGTCACTCGAACAGCCAAGTAAATACTGACTCCGGCCGCGGAAGCCTACGCTCTCAGCATACCCCTACTTTCCCCGTCGCGCATAGACTCGCGCAGAGAGCTAGGGGCACATATAAGGGCACCGAGCCCTGGGAAGCGGCCGAGTAGTGATTTGGCCGTTGGGCAGTGCGAGTCAGTGACAGCGCTTCTTGTACGTTGACGATATGTTGACGACGGAACAGTGTTTTGGGGGATTCTGGTGGACGGTAACAACTGTGCGACTATTAGGACATCTATTGGTACTTGTGTGACTTGGATTGTATTTTGGATTACGACTTTGGGTTTTCTGTGTGACTGTCGTAAATACGTTGACAAATAACTGTTCTTATTCTACTCCTGGCTTTCCTATACATAACAGATCTCATATGCAGAATCTTACTTACGAGCACGTGGTTTCCCAGATTCATCAATAGTCACTCATCGAATACTGAGAATCAGGGCACGGTCTTGCACAATATTGGAATTAGTAGTGGATTAAGCTGGACATCATAAAATTTTCTCATTCTGCTTGCTTGTTTGGCTGCTTTTGAATTGTTCATTCTACTAGTAAACTATTCTCCAAGAAAAACTAGTTCACCAACATTGTGCTAAAATTGTTTAAAAGATTTCATATTTGGGTGCACATCGAGATCGTAGAATAGGGATTAAGAAATCCTGATCTCATTTGATATGAAAGGAGAGTGGTGCAGCCATGTTTATGACTCAACAACTTAAGCGAACATTAGGTAACACTAACTTCCAAAGCAAAGTGAAATATGTCATCGTAAGGTTAGTAAGTACACAAAGCTTCAGACGTCAACTTGCAAACGATTAGAACGAATTGACATATACTCGGATATACGTATTAGATCAATTCCAGCGGCTGTTAGCAGAAGAATTATAGGGCCCGGCTCCTCTGAACGGCCTTTTTGCGTGTATTCTCTGACCAATACCAGGCGAAGGCCGGAGCAGGGTCCTAACAAACGGACCACTGACTTCGCACAGTATTTCCTATCTCTTTCTCGACCTACCTTCTCCTCTTACACACACACACACACACACACACACTTTACCATCACACGTGTCATGAGACCAGACTGGAGCTTAGAACTTGTCCCGGCTGGGGCGCTGAACTGATAGGGAGATACCTGGAGAGCGATATCACCACAGAACAGCGTCGGATCTCCCCATCCAGCGGAGAAGGAATCTCTGCCAACTCCCGGGGTAAAAGCATTCTCTGATTTAAAGGGATTAATGATCATGGCAGTTGGCGTCCCCGGGAAGATCAATCAATCAATCTCTCTTGCGTTCAGAAGCAAGTGTGTCACGCCCGTCTCTCACTCAAATTGCGTTATTGCTCTTGACCGCTGTTGGCACACTGACCACCAAATTAATTCAAATTTAGCGCAAAGCTTTGAACTGCTCAGTTTTGCTGCTCTTTGAAGGCATTTTAGAAGAAAAGAACATACATTTCAAATTTCCCGCGCGAATTCCTTCCCAGTTGACGAACTACTCATTTCTTTTGTACAAAGGTCTTTGACATCGATTGTCAACTGCTTTCTATTAGTTCAAAGTGTCACTCGTAGATTGCGTCACCTCCTGGACAGTCGCGACGAAAGATTTACCCAGTAGCATATTTCTAGGAATCCAATTTTTTCCACATCAGACGCGACGAGCTCGCATTGTCATGAAAGTCAGAGGAGCCGTGAACAGTTTCGTTGCATCGTGCAGAGAAACTAAGTGAAATATGTTGGGCGCATTGAAAGTTTGATTCGGCGCCCTGCCATGCAATTCCCTACTCATTTCTGCAGTCTACGACCTCAAACGCCAAAACGCGGCAAGCGTGCGCAGCAACCGTGAAACTCGTAAGGAAAACGTTTATTTTCGTCCGGACGGAGGTAACCATGACTATCTTCAATATTCATTAATTTTTTCGGCAAAGTAATTATCGTTGATAATTATGTGTCGATTATTTTCCAGAACTATCTCGTCTGATGAAAACAGAAAGCGATGTTCGTTGCAGTTTTTGCTAATGCTCTTCTAATTCATCTAAGCAATATTTCGCAGCCTCAACAACCGCGAATAATTACGTTGCATTTATTCTCGCAGAACTCTATCATAGTCCTTAGAATACGTTATCATAAACTTTTTCAATACTTTTCTGTTTATTGACTATTGACATAACCATTACTTACTTTGGGGCTGATACGTGAACCCATTGCGATGCTCCGAAAGATACATATCAAGTATCGTGTAATAATGAACATTCCAAAATTATGAACAATCATCCCATTATATTAAAACACTGAAGTAGAACTTGTGGAAGAACTTACCCAAATCAAGGCGCCAACAGTTCCCATAAGGGAACCTGCAGCCACATCTTGCCAGTGATGTTTTGCATCAGAGATCCTCGTAAGCGCTGTGTACCACGCCGACATTATAATCAACGTTTCAAATGCTGTCTTCGCGACGACCGCTCGCTCAGACCATCGGATTCGGTTCTCGAGGTACATCTGCGACATTACAAATCAGTGTGAAACTAAACTTCAAGAAAAATTACTGTTCAATGTTTTGGCAATATGTATTGATAAAAAACAGAAGGTATAGTTTAAAACAAGATTTCAAGTTTTCTTCATTTTACATGATCTATGCAATGCAAGTGTTGATGGATATATTTGCATGTAATCTGATGATTTATTGTTTTGTAAATAAGAATTAATGTAAGAATTATAAAAGAACACACCATCGTTAACATATTTATTTTAAATTTTCTAATTAAAATAAAAATCTTTCACGAAATTTGATAGTTATATTCGACCATCCGACTATTCAAGATACTTCCGACAGTATGTTTTAGATATTTTAGATCTATACTTCATGGTGTGAAGCAGTGACACTATTTATTGTGCTAGTTATAATATAAATCAGACTATAATATATTATAGACTGATAATTGCAACTAAGAGTATTTGTAGGTTCACTATTTATTGAACCAAAACCCAGCCAAAAATTTAAGTCAATTGCTTTAATGGAGGCTACACAATTATTTCATTGACTCTCAGAATGTTGCTTTACTTACTAGGGAGGTAATGAATGTTTTACCATGTATATGAGAATAATGAGAAAACAAAATGTCTGGTGGCTAACCGTAACCATGCTTGGTCAGGAGAAAACAAAATACTAATTTCCGACGGGTTGCAGTTCTTCATTTTGAGTACTAGATAGTTACTTAAGTAAATACTCCCCAAAAATTATGATATTTGAGACATGAAATCAGGAACTGATCATGAAGTACACACATGAGTTTCTCGTGTATTACACACGAGACTCACGCAGAAAAGATATAGCAATAAGAAAATAAAAGCATATGAGAGAAGATATATGAAGTTTACGATTCAAGCTTTGAATGAACCAGCTATAAATTATAACTAAAACTCAGTGTACACTAAGATACATGATACGAAACATTTGATGGAAGAACATTTGTAGTATTTTGAACATCCGTTATCTCACATGATAGATAAAAGGTGAATTACCTTCTTCGTGGTGTGATGATAGTGTGAAATTACGTGGGTGGAATGTTACTCACCACTGTGAACACTGCTGCGTAAAACGCCAGGGACGAATGTCCGGATGGAAAAGACAGTCTGCAGATATGAAGGAACGTAATTATTCATTTGTTTGGAGTAAGTAAAGTTAGAATCCGCCAGATCGACTCAAAACACGAACAATGTTTCCATATCTCATACAATAATCATTTGTGCAATTCTTAATAAAAAATATAATAGCATAAAATACTGACCAATATTTTCTAACTTTTGCAAACTGTTTCAGTATACCTGATTAACGTGGAAATGTAATTACGTCAAAGGGATTATATTATGACTAAAAGGACATTTACATGGAATTGCATTTAGTAAACACTCTAAATTCACCACAGGGTTTGAAAAAAGAGTATTTCCGTTAAAATTTCGAAAATGAAGGAAATGAAGATATAAAATAGTTACTTCTTATACATCATACAACTAATAAAAGCAACATCATGTGAAGTAACACAATGTAATTTTAATGAGTGATTTATCAATTCATTCCAAAAGTCACGAATGAATAAAATAGAACACAATTACATGAGATGTAGATGCTGGGATTATTTGAGCAATCTATCGATATATTCAACTTAATTAATACTTTTCAAACTTCGTTTTCAAACTTCCTCCTATTAGTTACGCAATTATTCCTATAGCACACGCAACTGTTATGAACATAAAATTTAACTAGTGGTGCTTCAGAATTGTACACCATTTTTCGTTTTAGTTAGTTTTCTAATTTATTTGGTCTGAGCTCGCTTTTCGATCTTGCCACCTGCCATCTATCGCCTGCCCAAAGTACATTTTTAAAAAATCTCAGTTTTTCGTTTCCCTAATACTAGAACTCAAATATTAATTTAAGAATATTAGAAAATCCTTTTTTATAAAAGGAAATTTTGTTGAAAAATTTGCGCCTTAATTAATAAAAAATGGGGTTTAAGTTCTGCTGTAAACGCGGAATTTGAGTTCCTCTTTCATAGAGCTCCTTTCTGTTTTTGAAAAACGTTACTGCAAGCCATTTGAAGGACATCCATCATAAATGCAGTAATGTATGCAACATTCTGAAAATGTGTTTATGCCATCTTAAACAGTGTCTTTCGCACTCTCCGTAGGAAAAGTTTGAACAATAATTAGAGCAGTTTTTGAGAAAAAGGCGTTTGAGGTTTTTAAAAATGAGGAAATTTCAGCTTAGTTTCCCAGAAAACTTTTGAGTGTTCGAGAGACTTTGCGACATCATTTGAAGCATTTGTACTCATTAATGCGGTAATGTGAACAAATCGTCGCTAATGAAAATATTAAGGTGTGAGATTTAAATAAACAAATATATTTTTGTAATTTTTGAAGAAGAAACAAAAGAACAAAGAACTCAGTGTGGAGAAAAGTTTTATTTGAAGGGAAAATTTCTATCTTCAATTTTGTAGTTGAAGGAAGACACCCTAAAAAATCCAAAATTTTGACTGTTTCGGAAATTTACAGTTAACCCTGAAAATTGGACCCATGCTACCTTTATAAGTGTATTTTACTGTGTTTTTACAAGAAATGTAAAGAAAAAAATGTTTAAAAAATTTAAAAAGCCTGGGAGCTTCGTGTAAAGTACACACACATTTGAAGAAAGTTTCTGAAAATCGCAGCGCCTCGAGACAGGCCAGACCGACCGGGGAATATCTCTTTGAAAAAATCCTACGTATGCTTTAGGCGCTAGTGATGTTCACAGACCGACAGACAGAAGGACGGACGGACGTTCAGAAAAAAAATTCGGTATCAGGGAACTCCAATACATGAATTTTCGTTGAAAGCTCGAAATCGATTTTCCGCAGCATTACATAACTTTCTCTATACTACGTTTATACATATGTATACGGGAAAGTAAAAACAGCACTTTTCGGCATCAGGGGACCCCAAATTTCGAACTGAATTAGGTCGTCATTTTTGTCATAAAAACTCACCTGCTTTGAAAAACAGCAAATTTGCTGCTGCCCGTGCACTCGTAGTCTGTAATGTAGGTGTGCGGATTGGTTACGTCGCACATCACGTTGGGTTTGCAAGTGTCCAGAAAGTGCGGGCGTAGACGGCCCACGGTGAATTTGCCCACGTTCACCATGATCTCCACGGCGCCCAGGCCGTAACCGAAGAGAAGGATTTGCCGCACCAGCCGAAATATCCACTCCGGCACCATCCACCCGGCCAGCAGCACGTTGCGCTTCAGCTTCTGGCGGTGCTGAATCCACAGCTCCACCGCCGACATCTGCGAAACCGCCCCGCCATTTCAAGGAACGGTTTTTGACTAGGTCAAGTATTTCCAAACACGAGTGCTACGCACAACTCGTTTTGTGAAAAATTTTGATTATGACTAGTTGGAGGATTTTGATGAACTAAAATATTGCCAAAAATGGTCAATGAAATGTTCTTGAAGTGTTTTTAAAATGCTTTTAAAAAGCCAAGAAAAATGACGTTAATGAAAACCAGATCAGATTAACATATATAGCTGTTGGATATGTTACTGATGTAATCGAGGATTCCTTTCGTTCAAGTGAACTCAGCTTAAAAACGGTTGGTTTGGGCTATTGGTTACAAGGAAATCTGTCTTTATTCATGGTGCTGATAGGCTCACAGAAACCGTATATTACGTAGTTCTCACAACGGATGACATTACAACATATGAAGAAATCCAATAGGCCACTCAGCAATTCTGTCCTGAACATTTGTTTCATCTCGTAAATATTATTTAAATCAAGTACCAATAAAATAATATTAAAATTGATGAAATCAGCGAAAATCACGGAAAAGGGTAAAAATTATATTTTAATCGAAACCAACGAAACAAACAAAAAAAGTCATAAAATGAGCCGTTTTCTTACGTCATAACAAAAATGACATCTACACTAAAACGCATCGCTCTATAGTGAAGAAAAAATATTTCATTAAAATCCTACGCATGAATATATAATTTCTTATATCAATATACGTATATATTATTAATTTAATACTTTGTAGTACACGGTGTTGTCGGCTATTGTAACGCTGTATAGGAAATAATGAAATTGATTACATAAATCAATGTTACATTAATTTATGAACACTTTTGTAGAAATACTATCGCTATAAGGCCAAAAAGTACCTTGTAGCTGCCGCCGTGACATTCTGGCCTCAGGTGTCCTTTTCATATATGCATAGATTTTAATTGTAATTCGGTTTGTAGTTGTTCCAAAATTTTTATTCCAGGTATCCCTCTTCCTCTTTATCCAACTATTTTACATTCCGAAATTGTGTTTAAGAATTCGTTATGCTTAAGAATGTGTCCAAAGATATTTGCTTTACTTCTCGAAATGGTTTTTAATAGGGATCTCTTCTATTTGACTTTTTTTAAATTACATTATTTTAAATATTTTCAGTCCAGGAAAACTTCAGTAATTTTCACCACAACTACATCTTGCGAGCTTCTAAACGACTTGTGTTTGTTTTTAAAAGCGTCCATCCTTCACATCCGAATAACAGACATTCCAGATATAACTTTTCAGAAAAATCTTTCTAATATCCAAATTTGCTAGGTATTTGTGAGCAAATTTATTTTATTTAGAAACGACTTCTTTGCTAGTATAATATGCTTTCTTATTTCTGTTGTGCTTATCTTATCTTCGGCGAAAGTGCAGCTTAAACAGCATAGTTGTGTACATGTTCTATTTCTGTAGTATCTAACATTTTATTTGATGTGTAATTTTTCTTTTCCCCAAATATCATGAAATTAGATTTTTTTATGTTAATTTTGATGAGGAACCTTTGAATAATTCTTGTGAGGCTATTTATCATTTTCTGTAAATCTTTCCATGATCTAGCTATAATCGCGACCTAATATCCAACATCATAAAAAATCTAACTCGAAGGTCTATTGCATATTCACTCCCGATCGCTGAAGTTCCTTACAAAGATAATTGCAATTCCAGCATTTCAATTTGGATTCACCGAAAAACTTTCATCGTTGCACCCTAGCTTCGGCTCACCGAATACATCCCATCCTCCTTTAACAAATATCAGCACATTATAGCAGTATTTCTTGATCTAACTCGGGCTCTTGACTTTATGTGGCCCCTGGGACTCCTGTATGAATTACTCCAAAAGGGAGTCCACCAGTACTTATATTTCGCATTATGAAGTTTTTTAAGCAACAGAACTATTTAGTGCAGAAACACAAATCGACCTCCCCACCTTTACCCATCAAAGTAGGAGTGCCATACGGAAGTGTTTTAGGGCCTCCTCTGTTCAATGCTTATCTCTGTGATACACTTCTACCTCTCTGTACAGAAATATCCCTATTCGCTAGAGACGCAGTCCTTTTAACATCTGGCTACAATACGATACCACAATTGCGAATTTACAATACGATTTCTCAGTCCCCGAAGCTTGGTAAACAAAATGGCGAATGCATATAAACCCATTTATAAGTTACCCAATAGTATTTACAGTACGAAACCCCGAACGACCTCTTTTATCGTGGTCTCAAACTCTCTCATTCCCTGGCAGCCGTTCACACAGGCAGTGAAGTATCATGGAGTAAACCTCCAGCGCCACCACCTTGGAAGTATCACATCAATAGTTATAATTATATCTTACGGGAAATCAATTCGACTGTATCTGTTACTCAATAGATCACTTAAATTCACAAAAACACCGTCCTTGAATACAAAAATATAATTTGGCCCACATTCAACTTACACCCCAATATAGTTTACGGCATTCCGTACTAATCTAAATTGCCTTCAAATACGTTTCTCCGTAAAATCACAAACACCCCGTGGTTAGTTCGAAATAATCAACTTTGCCGCCACCTTTACATTCAATCCCTGGTAACATTCATAAAACAAATAAACCGCAATTATTCCTATGCATCCTGAGCTCTAAATGTAACAATCATTTCGTTAGGAAGCTCATCCTCACTCATTCCAAGAATTTAAAAAAAATCCCTACGATGTCCTGAAATAATTCCTTTCCCCTGTAACTTTCTTTACCAACACTAACTAAAACAAGTTATATAAAATTAACAAAGAAAAAAACAGGTATCTAATTAAGTTAACCCCAAATGTAAATAGTGGATTAAATGTATACAATGTGTTGTTTTCTGGAACCATCACATGTAAAACCTTATGACTGGCCAGGAATAAAAGAAATTTTAAATGTAGCGTAACAAGTCTCGACCTCGCACCGTACGAGATACGCCGCTTAGATGGCTGGGATTGGTCAAGACCCAATGACATCTGGTCCTTGAATTAGCGAGACAGCCATGGCAAGCATTTTGAGCCGTAGACGCCAATATATTTCTTCAAATAACCGTACGGTTAATAACAAAGAATTAGGAGAAGTAATTAACGGAGTAGCATGTATTATCATCGAAGGTACAAATGAGGTTAAAATTTCAAGTCTGTAATATTATTAAAAATATAATATTTTGGCGTAATAAGATATCACAAAATCAAAGCAAGGTAAATAAAATAGTTTACAAATGCGATTGGATATTGCTCTTTAAAAAGATCGACTCTTCGGTTCAAAATTGTGAAACATTTAAAGATCTTTCAAACTATCAGATTCCCAAATTCGCATTATATGCTACTTACCGTAATCACGGGGAGTAGAACAGCAACAGCATACAGCTGACCTATGCTTATTGTGCTAGACTTATAAGGATAACGTATTGTATCATCATCACAAAAGAAACCTCCTTTAAAAGCTTTTACATTTTTTACGAATATCATTGTCGAAGACAGACCTGAAATAGAAAAATACGCTTTATGTACAATGAATTATCTCACGTAGTAATCATTGCACAGGAAGAAGTACATACATATCTCATTATCCATTTGAATCAATACTTTCAAGAAATGAAATTTTATTAATTAAGAATTTGTTTTTTTTAAATTATTTGTTCAGGCATATATTTTTCAAACTATTACGCTATATTTCCGAAAACAAAATATAGAAATGTTAAATCATAGCAAGCAAGTATATTCTACGGCCTTAAAAATGTGCTTTATGTACTTGGTAATACTTACTGAGAGCTATAATGGTTACATCAATCAAAACATTCCAAAGAGGAATTTCTTCCACTTGTATCGCTCTTGGACTACTCATTTTGTGAATGTCTTGAAATGGTGGGCTGGCAGTGTTACCTTGGGAAGTTTCAAACGGTAGCTCTTGTCGAGAACTACGGTGCCTTTCTTGACGCTCAATGTTAAATACTCTGTTATCGTTCACATGCATGAGTGATGTTAGGAAAAGCATGAATAACCATCGTATCAAACGCGTGCTCTCTGAAGGTAACTGATGCTGTAAAGATGTTATCAGCCAGGCGAAACAGGGCTGGAAAAAATTCCTGAAAATGGCGTGAAGATAGGAAGAGGAGTCAAATCAATTAGTTAAAAGAAGTATGTATTAGTCTCAAATGAGGATTATGCATATACTACGATATGTTTATAGGAAAACATCAGAAAATAAATCATAAAAGACGCATAAAAATATGAAGTGCATATAAACAGAAGCTCAACAAAGATTTTTCTCATGGGATACCGGGCATTAGGTATAGTGTCCAGTTGACTTGATATTTTTATAAAGATTTTTCCATTACGCCGAATATCAAATATACGCCAATGCACCCTTGTATACGCCAATGCTTATAAACAATGCAAAACTAGGAGTACTACAAAATGACTCAAGTTTTCTCGTACTACTTAATTCCCTTTCTTTCGGTTTTGCGTGGGCTGCAATATATCGATTGGGCCTAATATACACTATTATTCCTCGAGGAATAATTCTCAGTGTAGAGCTATCTCGTTCGCACCGAACATGACGGGGGTGTCTTTGAACCCTTGAGTATCTCAAAAACGAATGCGGGCTGCATACATCTGGTACGTAGTTTCTCGTCAGGGCAGTGCCGGAGCGAGACAATTTTCAGCCCTGGTCAATGCAGAACTGTAGCCCGCCCCCCGCACTGAAAAATTGAAAATGAGAAAGTTGTATCAAGAAACTAATTTATTTTATTTTTTTCTACTTTACCCGAGAAAAAATTCTGCAATTATATTTTAAATAGTAATTATAAGTTAAAGTATTTAGTGATCAAACAAAAAAAATTCCATGGTGAGCTTAAAATACACGAATTATTGTGTTTACTTCATTAAATTACTTTTTAAATACATGAAATAAAAAATATATAAATTTCTGCAGACGCTATTTTAATATTGACGTCATTTGATTAATATCATAAAGTACTTCGTCAATCATTAACTGTTTAATTGAAAATTAATTGAAAATGTTTATGAAATACCAGACTAATGTGCTGCTATTTCTAACATTACGATAACGATTTTTCCAACTTCTAATTTCCATTTTTCAATTTTTCTACTATTTATTTTCCCATCAATCCCTTGACTTGTGGGGCCCCGGGCGGTCGCCCGGTCAGCCCGTGCCTAGCGCCAGGCTCAGGGTGAGGGATTATGAAGGCATTATGGGATAGAGGTGATACACGAGGGACTGGGAATGCACCCTTCCCCACAAACACATCTGAAAACATTCATGCCTTACGGATGATTTCATCTCACAGTTTAAGTGTACGTATACTTGGGCGCACTAGGCCAAAGCTAATGTGACACCAGATCAGGTCCACCTTACTATTTGGAACAGTTATTTAATTATGTTAATATTATATTTATAATAATAATAACAACAACAACAACAACAACAATAACAGATTAGAGTCCTGCGCAACTATGGACGTATTTGTGATTGTCCCTTCACCCCTCATCATTTTATCATCTCATAATTCACAGTTCTAAGCATAACAACCTTGTCTTACCGAGAGGTACAGCGGCAAAGCTGATCCCATAAAAACACATGTTAATCGTGTAGCGTTGTCAGAAATGGCCATTTCGCATATAATAATAATAATAATAATAATAATAATAATAATAATAATAACAACGTTCTTGACTCCTTGAGTGTTTGGATCCCAAGGACAAGGTCCATCCGTGCATCCAACACTTCCTCAAAACGGCGATGAGCCGATGGAATACAAAACTGTGTCTCTCTAATGGAAAACGATCCGTCCACACAGATATTATACATATCTGCCTAGGAATTTTCGAGGGTGACTCTTTAAGCCCTTTATTGTTCTGCTTAGCCTTGAATCCCATGTCTACTTTACTACATGCATCTAATTATGACACCGCTCTTAAAAAAGGGAACTCAACCCTTCTTCGTGTCTCGCATTCTTTACATGGATGACCTGTAGCTCTGTGCAGAATCTGAGAAATATGCGGCCACTAATAAGCGTAACGGAGAAGTCCACTGACGACAAGATGAAATTCGGTTTCGATATGTGCAGGAGAGTGAATAACATTCGGGGTAATATGCAAGTTATACATTTGGAAAATAATAATGAACCAAATATTAGCTTCATGGAACCCCATGAAGCTTACAAATACTTGGTTTTCCAACTGTCACTCTGAATCAAACACACTGACACTAAAAACATACTAACAACTGAAGTGTGTTAACGATTACATGGACTCTTAAAAACTCAACTCTCTTCTAGAAACCTTGTGCAGGCAGCCGACTCATTTGTTATTACTCTGCTGACATACTCTTTTGGCGTTATTAAATGGAGCAATACCGACCTCAACAACCTGCGGAGGAGAATTCGAACCACTATGACACCACACCGAAAACATCATCCTCATTCAGTAATGAGCGTTTTACACTTCCAAGATCAAAAGGAGTGAGAGGTGTTATAGATCTCGTTAATATATTGCATCTCTCAGAAGATACTTCCTGGAACATTGTGGGTGAGTTCAGCAAGCAGTTAGTGCAGTTGATAATAACTATAGTTTTCTGAACTTGAAAAAGCTTGATTCACATGTTCAGCCAATCACTGAAACAGAAGACAAGATAACCTTATGGAAAGCGAAGGCACTGCAAGGAAGGTAGTCCTATGAGCCGAGTAAACCTGTAGTCGACATCTCTGCATCGCACGCATGGCTCCAGCACGGGGATCTCTTTCCGGGGACGGAAGCCTTCATGATAGCTATCCAGGACCAAGTGGTACCAACCCTGAACTACAGAAAACACATTTTGAGAGATTCTACGATCCATTCTGACTCAGGTAGAAGATGTAAGGCCGCAAGGGAAACTATGCAACACGTGCCAAGTGGATGTAGCAGCCACGCACAGTTGGAATACAAAAAGAGGCATGATGAAGTGACGAAGCAGTTCCACTAATTACTGGCAACAAAAACGGGCTTACTCGCCACTTCCGTGCCGTATTCCGAGGCCTGTCTAAAAAGGACCCGACCTTTGGCCAGAAAAAATATTTCGAATAACTGACAGATTTGGGACCCTAATCCCCTTCAAAGTAGGCCCCTTGTGCTTCCACACTCTTAGCCCACCGATCCTTCCTCTGCTGGAAACACCTCTGGAAGTCTTTTTTGTAATGGTGTTAAGCTCCGTAGTCGCGTTCCGTATTATTTCTTCTCGACTCTCAAAACGGGATCATTTCAGGGGAGTCTTCAATTTTGGAAACAACCAGAAGTCGCAAGAAACCAGGTCTGGAGAGTAGGAAGGTTGGCGATCGGTTGTAATTCCATGTTTGGCTAGGAAAGTGTGGATCAATTGAGATGAATGTGCTGGGGCGTTGTCATGATGCAAGTGCCAGTTCTTCGCCGTCCACATGTCTTTTGCGACGAACTGTGTCACGGAGTCGCCGGAGAACATCTTGATAGTACTCCTTTGTCACTGTTTGTCCTTGCGGTGCGTATTCCTGATGCACAATTCCACGGGCATCGAAGAAAACAGTCAGCATCACCTTGATTTTGCTTCGCACCTGCCGCGCTTTCGGCCTTGGAGAATCGGCATGCTTCCATTGAGACGACTGTTTTTTTTTGTGTTTCTGGGTCGTACCCGTACATCCATGACTCATCTCCAGTTATCATGGTGTTCAGAAACCCAGGATCATTGTTGGCGGTGTCCAGAAGGTCGTGTCCTTTTGGTTTCGGAGACAACAACTTGGGTACGAATTTAGCAGCCACTCGTTTAATGCTCAAATCTTCACGCATATTTGCACTTGTAGAATCTTTACTCACTCCAACTTCTTCTGCAATCTCCCGCACTATCAAACGGCGATCTGCCATCACCAAATTTCGCACGCTCTCAACAGTAGCTGCATTCCGAGCAGTTTGGGGCCTGCCGCCACGCTGCTCACTCTCGGCTGATGTGCGGCCATCTTTGAATCGGTTAAACCACTGCTTAATTTGTGTTACACCCATCGCATCTTCTCCAAACACCTGCTGAATCTTGCGAATTGTTTGGCTTTGAGAATCACCAAGCTTTTGACGGAATTAGATGCAGCATCTTTGCTCAATTCGTTCAGTCATCTTGCGAGAAAACTAAATCCGACGAACACTACTACGAACAGCACCTTACTTAGCGACCACCCGCTAGCAAATGACACAAGCAAACGCGGTGAAAAAATTCAAGCATGCCCATTAAGGTTCCTCCTTCCTCCGTGCACAGTGGCGCCGCCTTAGAATCACTACTTTGCGCGGGAAATATTAAGGTCGAATACTTTTTAGCCAGGCCTCGTATACATATGTGCCTCAGAACGTCCTTGAAAGTAGTGAGCACACTCTCTAGTGGGATCGCTCCATCATCACTGAGAGACAAGTTGGCGGCAATAGACCCGATATACCTTACATCGATAGAAACCATCGGCAGGTTTTCCTTATTGATGTATCAATACCCAATACCCACAACTTATCGGTAAAACGTCAAGAGAAGATTCAGAAGTATTCCGATCTCGCTCATGAAGTTGCAGCTCAGTGGAACTTCACAGCAAAGTGACAACTGTGCCTATAATGATATCAGCCACAGGAGTGATCCCGAAAATGAAAACTTCGAGCACTAGAGTGTGTTCACTTGGATGCCAGAAATATATACAATATGCAGAAGTCAGTGTTCTTGAATACATGCTGTATTGTTAGAAGCCATCTGAATCTTCAACGAAGCAACCGCACGCTTGGTCATCATTCCTATGAGTGGTTGACATACCGAGCTGTGAATAATAATAATAATAATAATAATAATAA